TTCTAGTCCCTAAGGGTGACCCCGACGCTTTCGACATCCCGACCCCTCGCACTTACGCTGAGGCGGTCTTGGGACCCTGGGCCTCTCAGTGGATAGCTGCCATGGAGCAGGAGATGGCATCTTGGAGATCCACCGGCACCTACGTCGACGCAGTTCCCCCACGTGGGGTGAACGTAGTCGATGGCCGCTAACTCTTCAAGATGAAGCGCCCTCCTAGAGACCTGCATGTGTTCAAGGCGCGCTACGTGGCTAAAAGTTTCAGTCAGCGTGAGGAGGTGGATTTCTTCCAGACCTTCGCTCCGACCCCAAAGATGACTACTCTTCGGGTGCTGCTACACGTAGCAGCTCAGCCTGACTACGAGTTACACTCCCTCGACTTCTCCACTGCGTTTCTTCAGGGCAGTCTACACAACTAGGTCTACCTGCGTGGCCCTTAGGGCTTCACTGGTACCTTCCCTCCTGGGACCCAGTGGCTCCTGCGGCACCCCGTCTACGGCTTGCGGTAGGCTCCCCGTGAGTGGCACAATACGCTGCGTGCTACGCTTGTTGACCTGCAGTTCTTTCCGTCCTCTGCAGACCCCTCGCTCTTCGTTCGTGCTGGCCAGACCCCGTTCTACATCCTTGTTTACGTAGACAACCTGGTATCCGCCACGGCAGACAGGGACGCACTGGCCTCCGTGAAGGCAGAGCTGCTGAAGAGACACACCTGCACTGACCTTGGAGAACTGCGCCACTACCTTGGCTTGCAGATCTCCAGAGACAGGGCAGCGCGCACCATCACTTTGACTCAGTCACACTTGGTGCGCCAGGTTCTTTAGAGGTTCGGCCTTCAGTTCTCCTCCGCACAGCCCACTCCTCTGCCTCTAGACCACAGGCTCTCCGCTCCAGTTCCTGAGGAGTCGGCAGAGCCCAGTGGTCCTTACGCTGAGCTGGTGGGTTGCCTCATGTACCTGATGACTTGCTCTCGCCCAGATCTCGCATACCCTCTCAGCATCCTGGCTCGCTTTGTGGCTACAGGCAGACACCGACCTCAGCACTGGTCTGCCGCTAAGAGGGTTTTGCGTTATCTTGCAAGTACATCTGGCATGGGGTTAGTGCTAGGAGGACACAGGCCAGTGGTCCTTACTGGACACACAGACGCTTCTTGGGCAGACGACCCTAAGACTCTCAGGTCCTCGCAAGGCTACTGCTTCAGCCTTGGTTCAGGTGCCGTCTCGTGGAGAGCTACCCGCTCCTAGTCTGTTGCCCAGTCCAGCTGTGAGGCCGAGATCTACGCCGGTGCCATGGCAGCACAGGAGCTCCGCTGGCTGACCTTCTTGCTCACTGACTTAGGTGAGCGGCCTAGCTCTGCCCCGGTCCTATACGCTGACAATAGGGCCATGATCCTCCTGTGTCAGGAGCCTCGACTCGAGGGCAGAGCGAAGCACATCCAGCTGCGGTATTTCCTCCTGCGTGAGCTCCAGCAACGCCGCCAGGCGCGCGTAGTACACTTGGCCTCCGGTGCCAACACAGCTGATATCTTTACGAAGGCGCTTGCGCCTAAAGATCATCAGCGTCACTGTGTACCGCTAGGTCTCGCTCGTGTAGCCTCTCACTTGCTAGGGCCTTGACTTTGTACTGTCCTTTATATATATTTTTTACGCTGACTGGCCTTGTGGCCTCTCCCAGTGGCTGGACTAGTAGTGCCGCCCTGGTCTTGCTCTTGCCTTGTCTGTACTCCGTGTGACTGGTCTTTAGACCCTTGTCTCCGAGGCTGGACTAGTAGTGCCGCCCTGAGCTGCTTCCCTAAATGGTCTAGGGGGTGTGTCAAACATAACTTATACAGTTACTGTAGACTATATATGTTTGTGCCTTAGTGGGTACAGCTCACCAATCTATATTGCCTTGTATCTCCCCATTCTAGTCATTATTCATTGTCATAGATACAAGTACAAGAATATTGTCCTTGTTGGAAATATCTGAAGGACTTAAGCGTTTCTGAAGTGTAACACCACACTCGAGGAAGGTCGTAATGGGTACGCGAGTCAACGGAGGTTACACGAGGGGATGGACAAAGAACACGAAAGGACTCGAAGGGTCGCAACTGGAGGTTGCGACTGACAGTTACAACTGTAAAGATGGTAACCAAAGCGACAATCGAGACGCTGTGTGACTCGATAACCGCTCTTTCAACTGTATTCTACAACTGCTTTACTTTCCTACTTTCTATATATTGCTGTATGCTTGTTCTTTTAATCAATCACTTGTTCTCATATACTAGAACAAGGGTTCAACTACTCAACTTCCGCTGCACTACTCAAGTCTCCTTTTACAACTGGACTTAGTCTCTGGAAAGATCCTAAGGGCTTTTCTCAGCCCAACATGGTATGAGAGCTGGTCAGAGATCAAACTCCCAGCAACAACGTCTATTTACTGTCAACATCTCAACAAACTTCATTGATTACAAGTCATGGACAACAAAGGCAAGAAGACCTCTAGGGGCTCACCCAACGCCCAAGACACCCAACCCGGCAACTCTGGATTACACACTTCAGGACTGCAATCCGAGACCAGCGCTGCTCAAGAAACAACAGGAAGAGCACCTGAAATGGTGACCCCATCACCCTCTTCAAGCGTCGACCCGAACCTTATGGAAAGGTTCTTCAGCTTCATGTCACACTTCGACCAGCAGCAGCAGACAAGGACACCTGCACATTCAACACAGAGCAATGGAGGAAACATGGGATAAGAGCCGATGAGCCTCGACAACTCATCGTTCGGGCGACACAATCAAGCGCCTACCTTTGCGCCTTATCTCTCTTCACCGGGGACGTTCGAGTTCATGCCGCCCCGTGCCCAACCAACAGCAGCTGCATCACAACAGACACCAAACGAGATACTTAGTCTCCAGGCGCAATTTTCACATGTGATCAAACTGCAGACATCCTCATCGTTCAACGGACACGACTCCTTTCCCTGGAGCTTTGAGTTCGAGCTGCTGATGGAGGCTGCGCATCTCTTTGGATACTTCAACGGGTCCCTGCCATTTCCAAGCAATGGCACTGCGAAAGAGCAAGAAATTTTTACATATCAGTCGCTGCTGGCGTACACAGTTCTCCTGCGGAACCTTTTACCACAAGAACAGCAAAGCATCAGAACGTATCGGAGCTATGGAAATTCTTCGGAACTCGCGTGGCATCATCTCAAGTGTCTCTATCAAGCAAACGACAGCGTGACACAAAGCAGACTCATGCAGCAGCTGACAACAATTCAGATGAAGACCGGGGAAAAGGCGATGCAGTACATGAGTCGATGCCAGACACTCCGCGACCGCCTGCTTCGGTGCGGAGGAACAATCACTGAAGAAAGCTTCGTGACGCTTGTCCTCACTGGGCTCGGGCCAGAATGGAGAACCACCCCCTCGCTCCTTCGCGCCCACGAACGAATCTCGGAGATGCACCTATGCGCCGAGCTCCATGCTGAACAACAAGAGATGGACCTGTTCGAAGAAAGGCAACCAAGGAAACAGCAACCATTAGTCTTCTACACTCAACGAAGGAACGACAACAACTACAACCAACGCGGCGAACAAGATCAACGCGACAACAGAGGACTTACCATTGTGCCGCCGTTCTGCCACAACTGCCAAACATCCGGACACTCCAAAGTCAACTGCACACGTCCACGAGCTTATCGTCCAGTAGACCCACAAGTCGCTTCCACTCAAGAAAGCCCGCCGAGACGCTCCTCCACATCTGCACAAGGTACACCAAACATCATCAACTGCATGGTACACATCGACAACTGCGCACCCGGATCACCGCCCACTTACGCTCCAGACGAAGAAGAACTGTCACCACCGCGCTCACAAGGACTTCAGGTCAACCCAACATACGCTGCAGTTGCCAACGCCGAACCCACCGGGCGAAACACTTGGTTCTTGGACAGCTGTTGCGGCCAACATATGTGTTCCTCCGGGCGATTCGTGCAACGAGAACGACGTCTCAACCGAGATGTCATCATCACCGTCGCCAACAACGAGAACCTGAAAACAAACAGACAAGGAGTGGTTCAATTACAGTCCATGGAGACAAACGTTATACTGCAACTCAACAAAGTTCTCATCGTCAACAATTTGGGATACAACTTACTCAGCGTCAGTCAGTTAATGGCAAAAGGGATTCACCTAGAGTGCGACTCGGACTCCAACGAATTTCGCCTTTACCACGGGAAGGGCGGTCTCTTCATCGGTCGCGCTCTCCTGAAGTCAGGCGTCTTCGTGTTGGATTTCGTCCCCGACCGCGGTACCGCGGTACTTTCCTACTTTCTATATATTGCTGTATGCTTGTTCTTTTAATCAATCGCTTGTTCTCATATACCGTAATCCCCCGTATATAAGACCCGCCGAAATAGTCAGCCCACGGGTGGCTTATGCGGGGGATAGCTTATGATATGACGCATTTTTGAGAGTACCCGCTTTTCTGGGTTTGCATTTTACATAACACCCTGCGCGTTTTTCTTGCCTTTAAATAGTATTCTGTCCTTCATTATCAAGGTTCGCTCAGCTGCAAAAATACGAACACGATTAAAATCGCGTCAGCTGCCATTCGTAGCGCAAAGACGGGCAGAAGAATCAATACAAGTGGCAACATGAAATCGAAAGACAAAAAGTGTCGAGAGGATCTCGACCGTCCATCTTGCTGTTGAACCACCTCGATCGCGTCAGCATGGTCGTGACTCTGTTCACAGCACTCTTACGAGATTGGTCAATGACACCTGGCACTACTGCAGCATCAATCTCCCACCGTTTTCAAAGGCACTAAACTGACCCTGTCAGAGTACGCAATCTCTGTAGCAGATTCCTCGTTAGCAGATGCCCGGTGAAGTTTAGGCCTCAGAGTGCGTGTTACAACCCAAATTCATTTTGCATTTTACATAAGACATGGGTGTTTTATTTTTCCAGCCTACTGTTAACACCCATACGTTTTTTTTATGAAATTTTGACAATACCCTAGGGTGTTATATACGGGGGAATACGGTACTAGTACAAGGGTTCAACTACTCAACTTCCGCTGCACTACTCAAGTCTCCTTTTACAACTGGGCTTAGTCTCTTGAAAGATCCTAAGGGCTTTTCTCAGCCCAACAGTCCTCTTTAAGAAATGACCTAGATAGGCTATAACAAACACATCTAAACCAACTAAATATTGTCGAGTGACCCGCTGAGGTTACCCTTGAGAAGATCCTCGGGGAAGGGCCACAGGTGCAGAGCCTAGGGGGCTATGGGCGCACTGACCCGCTATTAACAAGCCCTTTAAACCAAGTGGTTAGTGGCTGAGTTCTGACAAATATGTGTAGATAGAGTTATAGGTTTGTTGACAAGTTGAAACAATGCTCGGAAGAGAACAAAATGCATCACTGCTTCAGGGCTTCGCACACCTGAAGCAATTGCGAGTCAGAGAAAAAGGCACAATAAAAGACGGTGAGTAGCAAGCACAAGGTACAATAAGTGTGCATCAGGCGTGGATGCACACATGGAGGGAGAAGGGCAAGCGGTCTGCATGGATGAGCACACTGCACAGCACAAAGGGAGAGTTGAAAAGGAGGGGGTCTCACATCAATGGGCATCTCTAGCAGCGACGTGCTGAGGGCGTCCTCTAGCGACCGCACCAGAGGCACCTCCCCGCCCGTCACAAACAGCAGCGACATGCCTGCTGCGCTGCTGCTGCTGCTGCTTGCAGTGCCCGCAGTGCTGACAGGGGGTTCAGAGGTGGAGAGGGACGTGGCAGGGCGTTGCATGGCGGCTGCTGCTGCTTGGCTCAGGCATGTGGCCACTCGCCGCAGGTACACGTCCTGCGGAGGGGGTGAGGGTGGGGGCGAGGGAGGGGGGGGATTCTGATGAGAAGTGGTGGGGTTGTGGATGAGTGGATGGGCGATGGAGGGGGTGGTGGGATGGAGTGGGAGAGGGCAGATGTAGAAACAGGGGCGCAGAGGAACTAGTAAAGCAGTACGAGCCAGCATCATCTCATGTGATGATCATAACGCTACCCCATGCATGGCATGCCCTCCCATTGCATGCTAAGGCACGTGAATGCATGCATGGCATGCTTCATGCACCCTTCATACACATGCTGTGGCACACACTGATCCACACATCAGGGATGGCAAGTAGTAGGACACGTGGCATGCAGGCAGGGGACGGGATGTCATGGCACAGAGGCACTCAAAGGACGAGGGAGAGAGTGAGTGAGGGAGGGAGGGCCGCAGGAGGGTCAAAGAGATATATGCATGTCCAGGTGGCAGGGTGGGTTGGTGGGCGGACAGGCACATGGAATGCAAGGATGACCACTCCATCAGCGAGCCTGCAGACAAGTGCGTGCGTGCGTGCATGCACTCATGCACACCCCATAAGGTACCTTGCGCTTGGGGAAGTCATAGTTGATGAGCAGCCTTGCCCCCAGGGACGGCTCCCCCCCCCCATGCCCACATGGCACACACGCATCTGTCACCACCAGCACCGGCACCACCCCTCCCAGCTCCCTTCCTCCCTCCCGGGCCTCCCCACTCGCCTCCCCTCGCACTGCTCCCACTGCCCTCTGCCCTTCCCCCTCGCCCAGTCGGCTGTGCAGCTGAGGTGCGTGGGGTGCGTGGGTTGCTGGAGTGAGGGCGGCGGGCAGGCAGGCGCGCAGGGAGGGCGGAGTGGGGTGGCCTCTGGAGAGAGCAACAGCTGCATGGAACGCTGCGAGCACGCCTTGGCGCTGCGTGTCCGACTGGTCGCTGTGCTGCGAGGGGGAGCGAGATGGGGGGTGAAAAGGGAGGACAGAGAGGAAGAGGAGGGAGAGGAAGAGGGGGGAGAGGAAGGGGAGGGAGAGGAGAGAAGGGAGACGAAGGAGAGGGAGAGGAGAATGAGAGAGAATATGAGGAGGAGGGAATGGTAAGAAGCTCAGAATATTGGCGAGACAAGAGGCGATTGTTAAGGTGACGCATGAATTGGAAGGTGAGGGAGTGAGCGAGTGCAAGTGTGAGTGTGCATGTGAGTGTGAGTGTGGGGATGCAGAAAAAGGCAGAGAACGGGCAAGTGGGGAATGGCGTGGGGAAGGGGGGAAGAGGAGGAAGAGGAGGAAGAGGTGTGAACGGAAAGGGCAGCACGTGGAGCGGCATGTGAGCGTACGAGGGAGGAGAGGAGCAGGCGGTGGTGGAAGGGCGAGAGCGCGGCGAGCACCAGGTCCAGCGAGTCACGCGTGGCACAGCAGATCACCGTCGGCACTGCCACAGCAGGCACGCTGGGCGCTGCTGTGAGGGGCGGCGAGGGGGAGGGGGAGGAGATGGAAGGGGAGGGGGTGGAAGGAGGAGGAGGAGGAGGAGGAGGAGGAGGGGTGGGGGGGGCGGGTATGCTGCGGCTGATGACGTCCAGAAGGTCCACTAGCGTTGCCTGTTGGTGTGCATCGCATTGCACCGCACAACAGAGCAGAGCACAGATTAGGATAAGCGTCCATTGGTGAGTGCAGGGAATGACGCATATCCCATGCCATGCCATGCTGCATGTCCTCCTGTGTATGTGCCCCCACCACCTCCCTTGTCCCCACCACCTGCCCTCCCAGCAGCGCGCCGGTATCGCACCAGTTTGAAGCGCGGTTGGTCCACGGCCACATAGTACTGCATGCTGCTCCGCGCACTCACCGCTCCGCCTCTCGTTCCCCCCTGCGCGCACCGCTCCTCCTGTGGCCCGCCCCCGCCGGCAACGCGATGCGCACCGCACTAGCTGCTACCAGCTCTACGCCCGCTCTCCGCGCACGTCCCTGGCGGAACCTGCAGCGCGGAACCTGCGGCGGCGCCCTAGCAGCACGTTTCGGAGGACTCAGCTGCGCGCGCGGAGGCGATCCCTATGAGGCCGCGGAGCGGAGCGGGGCGGCGGATGCGGTGAGTGCGGGCCTCGTGCGATCCTACAGCAGTTGCCGCGGAGGACGGCGGGCGAGCGCCCTGCGCGCGGACCCCGTGACGATGGAGGAATAGCGCGGGACGCGGGGCGGGGGAGCGGGCGTGTGCTGCGCAAGGGCACGGCGGCGCAGCGGGGAAATGCGCTGGAAACGGTAACAGGCGTCGGGTCGGCGGGGTACAGGGCGTGGTTGCGCGGTATGAGGCGAGCAAGATTTGGAACACAACAATCGCGGTAAGGGCGTGTGACTTCCAGCAAATGTGTGGAGAGTTCGTAACGTCACCACTCTGTACCGCGGTTCTAACCGTCTGCAACCTACCACAATTGTCCTTAACCACTCTAGAAGTTCGTACTGGAGGCTTGTTCGTACCATTAGTCACACACCCTAACCCTCTCTCGCCCCACTTAGGGGAGACCACATTGGGCTCGAGCGGAGCCAAATCCCGAGCCTGCGGCTCAATGTCGCACTGAAATGCCAGAATTACTCTCAGATTTGGAACACGACATTGAGCCGCAGACAAAGTTCGCAAAGCACATGGCGAAGCTGAACAGAGAAACACGAAGCAAACATGCAGAACTACAAGGCGCGAAAAAAAAAAAACCCCGTCTCACCAAACACTGTCACCGAGACACAGAGGTACACGTGTTCTCATATTTAGTTTTACGTTTGTTTCACGCGGCTCAAGCCTGTAAACAGGAAATAGTAAAACACGGGCAAACGGGACTTCGAAGGGGAAATCCCACAGTAAGCAATGACACATGGTTACAAAATCTCGCTCATGCACTTTATTAGTTGTCTGCGCGACGTCCCAGCTCTGAATCGCAATTTTTGAAATACAACTTGGTCATTCGCTATCGTTCAGACTGCAGCCAATCAGGTTCAGTGTCAATGCAAGTCATGCTGAGACCTGGTAGGTGAGAAACAATAGAGAAAACAAAGTGTACCCCGCGCCACTGCTGCAATTATCCACGCGCGAAACCTGGGTTTCCCCATTTCGTCGCGGGGCTAGTGTGCGTGTTTCGCCAAGTTCCAGACATCGCAACACTACACTGTAACACGTGCCGTGACCCAAGCTCGAGCCTGCGGCCTGTCCCGTCAATTTCGTACATTGAGCTCGCGGACCGAGCGAGCATCACATTGAGCCCAATGGCGCCCCCCCTAAACGTGTCGAGAGGGTAGGCTGAGTCGATACACTCGGAATGTAAGGCATCTGCTATGGGTGCCGCAAAAATTAAGGGGTTGAAGTGATGGTTTGGTGGGGGCGATGGAGACCCCACGACACATATTCCCACGGCAGCACCACAAACGAGGGGAGGAGGGGGTTTTGGCGCGGGAGCTTTGGAGGGGGAGGTGCTGGTTCGATTGGCGAGTTGTTACTGTAATTTCAGATATGCGTGGACGTACATGCGGGTCAGCCCGTACTAATGGCGAGTGTGGCAAATTCCCCCCCTCCCCCGGCACTTCAAGTGAAAGACGGGTGGGGGTTTGGGCTGGGTAGTGGAGAAGGGATGAAGATGGTAGGATACAGCTGGAGGTATATTTCGCAGCTTGCCGCTATTGTGAGGGTATGTTTGGGGAGCCTGTGGGAGCCTGGATGTGAATGATTAAGAGTCCAGAGTACTCTGTGATGTTACCCCGAAACCAGGGGGGTTTGAGAAGAGTGCCACGAGAGCTCATCAGAGCCAGCAGCAGTGTTCCTAGTCTCCCAGGTCTCCAGGCTGAATCTGGCCCGACTGCACGGCAGCATGCCATGACCTCGCCTCGCCCGTTCCTGCAGTCGCTTGATCTCACTACCAAGGGCCCGGGACCCGTCCATGGCTCGCCCCGCAGCGATCGCATGATCGCATGATCGCCCTCGCCCTCGCAGTGCGATCGGATCGCAGCCACGTCAGCACCCCCCGGCCCCGCCAGTTCTCTCTCTCTCTTCCCCCCCTCGCATGGCCGGCGCGTGGGACTGCCCGCGCTGCACCTTCTGCAACCCCCCCGCCGCCGACCGCGGCGGCGCCGCGGCGTCCTGGCGGGAGGCGGAGTGCGCCGTGTGTGGATATCGGTCGGCGCACGTGGATCTCGACGACGATGACGAGGATGGTGCTGACGTGGAGGGGCGCCACGAGGGCTTCGAGACACGTGGCGCGGCTGCTGCCCGCAACGACAGCGACGGCAGCGGCGGCCGCGGCGGTGGTTCCAGCTCGTGGGCGTGCGACGCGTGCACTCTCATCAACGCCGGCGCTGCTGCTCGCTGCGCCGCCTGCGACTCGGTACCGTTCCGCACCGTTCTCTACCCCTCTCCACTCTGACTTCCATCGTCCCTCGCGCCCGCCTCTTCTCCCCGAACCTCTGCGCCACGACTCTCCTATGCGCCCTCACCGCCACCTTTCCCCCGGATTTGCCCCTCTCTTCCCCACGCCTGACCGCGCGCAGCTCCCCTCCGCCGTGGCGCGGACGGGTGGCGCAGCAGAGGAGGGGGCGGTTGGGGCGGAAGGAGGGAGGGGGAAGGGGAGCGAGGAGGAGCGGGACAAGAGTAAAGACTCGAGGGATAATGGGGGCACGAGGGGGAAGGGGAGCGGAGAGAGGGGGAGTGGACAGAAGGGGAGTGGCGAGATGGGAATAGGAGAGAAGGGGAGTGGAGATAGGGGGAGCCAGGAGACGGGGGCGATGGGGAGAGGAGACGAGAGCGGGGAGGCGGGGAGGGCGACGGAGAGCTCGTCAGGGAACGAGTGGTTGCGTCTGCTGCACGAGGCAAGAGTGAGGCGGCGAGGCGAGGCCGCGAGGAGCAGAGGGGAGGGGGCTGGCAGCGAGTGCACAGCAGGCGCACACCAGGAGAAGGAACCAACGCCGCAACGAGCCCCACAAGGCTCGTCCCTTCTCCCTCTCCTTTCCTACGGCCTCTCCTTCTGCCCCTCCCCCTCTCCTCCCCCTCCCCCCCTCCCCCTTCCATCCCCGTGTCTCCTTTTCCTTCTAGTCCGCTTGCAGTCCTTGTATTTGCTGGGGGGGGGAGGGTACAGCGCATGACATGTGGGGCATGTGGGGCATGTGGGGCATGTGGGGCATGTGTGGCATGTGGGGCATGTGGGGCATGTGTGGCATGTGGGGCATGTGGGGCATGTGGGGCATGTGGGGCATGTGTGGCAAGTGGGGCATGTGTGGCATGTGTGGCATGTGGGGCATGTGTGGCATGTGTGGCATGTGTGGCATGTGGGGCATGTGGGGCATGTGGGGCATGTGTGGCATGTGTGGCATGTGGGGCATGTGTGGCATGTGTGGCATGTGGGGCATGTGTGGCATGTGTGGCATGTGTGGCATGTGTGGCATGTGTGGCATGTGGGGCATGTGGGGCATGTGGGGCATGTGTGGCAAGTGGGGCATGTGTGGCATATGGGGCATGTGTGGCATGTGTGGCATGTGTGGCATGTGTGGCATGTGGGGCATGTGGGGCATGTGGGGCATGTGGGGCATGTGTGGAAAGTGTGGCAAGTGGGGCATGTGTGGCATGTGTGGCATATGGGGCATGTGTGGCATGTGTGGCATGTGTGGCATGTGGGGCATGTGTGGCATGTGTGGCATATGGGGCATGTGTGGCATGTGTGGCATGTGTGGCATGTGTGGCATGTGGGGCATGTGGGGCATGTGGGGCATGTGGGGCATGTGGGGCATGTGGGGCATGTGTGGCAAGTGGGGCATGTGTGGCATATGGGGCATGTGTGGCATGTGTGGCATGTGTGGCATGTGTGGCATGTGTGGCATGTGGGGCATGTGGGGCATGTGTGGCAAGTGGGGCATGTGTGGCATGTGTGGCATGTGGGGCATGTGTGGCATGTGTGGCATGTGTGGCATGTGGGGCATGTGGGGCATGTGGGGCATGTGTGGCATGTGTGGCATGTGGGGCATGTGTGGCATGTGTGGCATGTGGGGCATGTGTGGCATGTGTGGCATGTGTGGCATGTGGGGCATGTGGGGCATGTGGGGCATGTGGGGCATGTGTGGCAAGTGGGGCATGTGTGGCATATGGGGCATGTGTGGCATGTGTGGCATGTGTGGCATGTGTGGCATGTGGGGCATGTGGGGCATGTGGGGCATGTGGGGCATGTGTGGCATGTGTGGCATATGGGGCATGTGTGGCATGTGTGGCATGTGTGGCATGTGTGCCATGTGTGGCATGTGTGGCATATGGGGCATGTGTGGCATGTGTGGCATGTGTGGCATGTGTGGCATGTGGGGCATGTGGGGCATGTGGGGCATGTGGGGCATGTGGGGCATGTGGGGCATGTGTGGCAAGTGGGGCATGTATGGCATATGGGGCATGTGTGGCATGTGTGGCATGTGTGGCATGTGTGGCATGTGTGGCATGTGGGGCATGTGGGGCATGTGGGGCATGTGGGGCATGTGTGGCAAGTGGGGCATGTGTGGCATGTCTGGCATATGGGGCATGTGTGGCATGTGTGGCATGTGCGGCATGTGTGGCATGTGTGGCATATGGGGCATGTGTGGCATGTGTGGCATGTGTGGCATGTGTGGCATGTGGGGCATGTGTGGCATGTGGGGCATGTGGGGCATGTGGGGCATGTGGGGCATGTGTGGCAAGTGGGGCATGTGTGGCATGTGTGGCATATGGGGCATGTGTGGCATGTGTGGCATGTGTGGCATGTGGGGCATGTGTGGCATGTGGGGCATGTGTGGCATGTGGGGCATGTGAGGCATGTGAGGCATGTGGGGCATGTGGGGCATGTGTGGCATGTGGGGCATGTGGGGCATGTGGGGCATGTGTGGCATGTGGGGCATGTGTGGCATGTGTGGCATGTGAGGCATGTGGGGCACGTGTGGCATGTGGGGCATGTGTGGCATGTGTGGCATGTGTGGCATGTGGGGCATGTGGGGATGGAGGGCATGTGGGGCATGCGGGGCATGTGTGAAAGGGGCCAGAGAGGCTGGTTGCGAGGGCCAAGAGGAGGGGGGTGGGCGAAGTGAGAGCTGTGTGTGGTGGAGTGCGGTGTGTATACCCACCTGCTGCTGCTGTCCCCACTGTGCACTACCAACTCACGCACTACCAGCATGTGGCCCCAATCGATCGATCCCCACATGCTCCTCACGTGTTGTCCTCCCTCCCCTCTCCCCGCTCCCCTGTCGCCTCCCTCTCCCGCGCATGACATGTGTGGCATGTGTGGCATGTGTGGCATATGGGGCATGTGTGGCATGTGTGGCATGTGGGGCATGTGGGGCATGTGTGGCATGTGGGGCATGTGTGGCATGTGGGGCATGTGAGGCATGTGAGGCATGTGGGGCATGTGGGGCATGTGTGGCATGTGGGGCATGTGGGGCATGTGGGGCATGTGTGGCATGTGGGGCATGTGTGGCATGTGTGGCATGTGAGGCATGTGGGGCACGTGTGGCATGTGGGGCATGTGTGGCATGTGTGGCATGTGTGGCATGTGGGGCATGTGGGGATGGAGGGCATGTGGGGCATGCGGGGCATGTGTGAAAGGGGCCAGAGAGGCTGGTTGCGAGGGCCAAGAGGAGGGGGGTGGGCGAAGTGAGAGCTGTGTGTGGTGGAGTGCGGTGTGTATACCCACCTGCTGCTGCTGTCCCCACTGTGCACTACCAACTCACGCACTACCAGCATGTGGCCCCAATCGATCGATCCCCACATGCTCCTCACGTGTTGTCCTCCCTCCCCTCTCCCCGCTCCCCTGTCGCCTCCCTCTCCTGCCATCAGCCCCCTGCAACCCCCCTCTGGCGGCCATCACAATCGTGTCGTTGAACGTGTGGTTCAATGAGGAAGCTGCCCTGGAGCAGCGCATGGCCGCCATAGGCGCTATCATCCAGGAGCACCGCCCGCACGTCGTCTGCCTGCAGGTGCCAGTCATGCTTTCGTGCCGTGCTGTGCGTGGCATGCCGTGCCGTGCCTGACTGGAATGCGTTCAGATGCCATGTAGTGTGACTTGGGCATAACGGAGTTGAGGGAGGGGAGAGGAGAGTCGGGCGGGAGGGTGGTGTGTGGTGCGTTGTCCGTGACGTGGGTGCGAGGTGTGGAAATTTCGCCGCAGGGAAGGGAAGGGACTGATGAGGAGGGAAACAGGAGGTGGAGAATGAGAGGTCTGATGTGCACACATGCATGCGGCTTTGCACAAGTCCATGGGTGATGTTTGGGAGGAGAAGAGAGCGAGGGAGAGGAAATATGACGTACTGGCACTGGTGGGTTGAACGCATGCCATACGGGGTTGCAACCACGTGCTGGCCTTTCTCCCATCTCTTCCTACCCTCCTCTCACTGGTTCCTACTTCAACCCTCTAGCTCACTCCCCCTCCCTCTCGCCCACACTCTTACCGCTTCTCGTTCCTAACATCACCTCTGCTCTACATAGGACCACGTGTCTCCCATCACCTCCTCTACCCACGCACTACCTCATTCCCTGCACCCCTCTCTCTCTCTCCCTGCACCCCTCTCTCTCTCTCCCTGCACCCCTCTTCTTCGTGCCCTTCCTTCAGGAGGTGACGCCGCGCATCCTCTCTCTCTTTGCTGCGCAGTCGTGGTTCAACGCCTACCACTCCTCCATGCCCGCGCACGCCACCCACATGCCGCCATACTTCTCCCTCATGGTCCGTGCTGCCACCGCATGCTGCATGCCCTGGTGTAATTCCATGCTGCCATGCCATGCCATGCCATCCATCCTCGACACATATCATGCGGACCATGCTCATAGCTCCGCATGTCACACCACACCTGATCTGCATCGTTGGTCCATCACCCGTCCTCATTTCCCTTCCATGCGCCATCCGATGCCATCCATGCACCATCCCATCCGTGCACCATCTCATCATGGCCCTTGCTCCACTTATTCCCCTCTCTTGTCTACCACATGTCTGTGACCGTACGTGTGTTTGGCTGTATGTGTGTCTGTGACCGTATGTGTGCTGTGCCTTCACCCCACGCCGTCTACCTGCTGCCCCCCACATCCCTTGGAGCAGTTATCCCGCCTGCCAGTGCACTATCAGCGCGTCCTCCCCTTTGCCAACTCCATAATGGGCCGAGAACTCATCGTCACCTCCTTCCGCCTCCCTCCCCTCCCTCCCCGACCTCCCTCCTCCTCTTCCCCCCCACCCCCCTCCGCCGCCCCCTCCACTGGCCCCTGCCTGCTGACCGTGGCCACCACGCATCTGGAGTCGCCGTGCCCCGCGCCCCCCACGTGGGACCAGCACTTTTCTCAGGAGCGCGTGCAGCAGGCACGTGAGGCGTTTGCCCTGCTGGATACTCAGGCGTGGAGGGAGAAGGGCGCTGGGAGGAAGCGGGCGAGGGGGGAGAGTGAGGGGGTCGAAGGGGGGGAGAGGAGAGGAGGGGGGGAGGGAGGTGGGGAGTGTGAGGATGTGGTGTTCTGTGGAGATATGAACTGGAATGATAAGAGGGATGGGGATGTGCCCATGCGAGAGGGATGGGTGGATGCATGGATGCAGCTGCATCCGAATGAGGTTAGCTCCCTCCGCTGCACCCACTCGCTTATCCTCTTGCTCTTCTCAAACCCATCGCCGTCGGCCTCGACTTGACTCGGCCCTCTCTTCTTGAGCCATCCCCAGAATTGACACATGCACCTTCTCTTGCCTTACATTTCAAGCACCCTAGTCCATTCTGCCTGCATCCCAATGTGCCTCACCTTATCTTCAACGCCCACTCTTGCCGTGCATTCACTTTTGTGTCTCATATTCACTGCTCCCTCCCTCCACACTCTCCACTCCACGCCCCAAAATCCCCATCCCCCACCCCCCCTCCCCCTTGCCCCCTCGCTGCTCTCCCACGTGCCCCCATGCTGTCCCCCAGCCCGGCTTCACGTACGACAGTCGCCTGAACCCCATGCTGGCGGGGGGGCGTCTGCGCCTGCGACTGGACCGCTGCTTGATGCGCCTACACCACATGCGCCTGCGCTCGCTCTCGCTGCTCGGCACGCACCCCATCCCCGGGGGCTCGTACGCCAAGCAGCGGCGTGTGAAAGGCCAGGCAACCACGGCGCAGCTGCCGCTTCTGCCCAGTGACCACTTTGGCCTGCTGCTCGTGCTCAACAGGGGGGACTGGGGAGGGGAGGAAGGGGGGGAAATTGGGGATGGGAGGGGTGCAGCAGGTGGCGGTGGTGGGAAGGGGGAGGGCGAGGGTGGTGGTGGTGGGAGGCCAGGGAAACGGGTGAAAGGGATATGACATGATGGGGTGTGACACAGTTTCACAACCTGGCTGTGCTTGCTGCGCTCAGCGTAGTGGTTCGGTTGAGAAAGTGCACGTGTTTTTTTACGCGTCACGTCATGCCTTCCTTCGGCGACGCACTAGAGGAACACAACATGCGCGTAGCACAGGCGAGTGCCCGAGCCTTGTAGTCTGCATGGGTTGGTGGATAGACCAGCAAGGATGATTTCAAAACGCCACATGCAGCCCTATTGTGCCGGTGGCAGAGCCCATGGACCCTCACATCACGTGCGCGGCATCGCAAGGCAAGGCCAGAACTGCAGCTCACTCAAATAATGCCTTGGCCACAGAACCAGGTTGTCATGCAAAATATTATAATTGAAGTTGCAGCACATAAGATCTATGTACAGGGAATCAGGAGGTATATATCCACAATGTACCACCTCAAAAAACTTAACAGCGCTCAAATATTTTGTAAAGATTCTCAAGTGATGCAATCTGCAGGCACAAAAGAACCAGGACGGGTACGGAAAACCAGACAACCAGATGGGTCAGAAAGGAGGAACATGCATCAATACAAGCAGAATGATCATTGCAGAAATACTATGTGCGTAGAAAGCAAGAGACCGCATTGCCAGGCAGGGTGACTTCAACAACTGGGAGCACGGGGCGGAACCACGCCCTCTATTCCAGGGAGGCGAGAACAGGAGCCAGGTAAGGAGGGACGGCGAAGGGCGGGACAGAGTGCGAATAGATAGCAATGTAGACAGGGAGCGAGATGGGAAGGGGGGTGGGGGAGGGAGGAGGAAAGAGGGGGAGGGGGGGTGAGGGGGAGGCAGAAACAGGGAGCATGCAAGCAGGGAGCAGGGAGCATGTGCGTGACCTTGATGAAGGTGCCATCTCTGGCCATGCGCCTGGGCGGCTTGAGGAAGAACTTGAGCGCCGGCAGCAACACGTGCTGGATGCTCCACTCCCACTGCCGCCACATCGCCTCCACCTCCCCCGCACTCACCCCCTCACTCGCCCCCTTTTCACCCTCACCTTCTTCACTCACTCCCACTTCGCCACCAGCGCCCACATCCACAGCACTTACAGCCCTTTCTGGACCCCTTTCTTTCCGTATCCTGCTGGCATCCCCATCCCCCTCCCCCCTCACCTGCCCCCCCTCCCCTCCCCCCCCACTTGCCCCTGCCCCCGCCCCCTTCCCTCCCTGGGCGTTGGAGGGGCGAGGCAGCAGCGGTGCATGGAAGGCATAGAGGTCGGCCAAGGCAGCAGCGAGGGAGGCGAAGCACGCCCTCTCCTCGTCCCACTCCACCTGTGCGAGTGACAGCGCGCATCGGGAGGAGGAAAGCGAGAGTTGGAGGAGAAGCAAGCCGTGGATGAAGCCGGAACACACCCACGACTAGATGACGAGGCAGGAAATGGAAGGCAAGGCATGGCAAGGCACGGCACGGCACGGCACGGCACGGCACTAGGGAACTCATGGCAGCTATGGAAGTGATGGCCAATACTACCATGATACCAAGGATGTGTGAGTAAGGGAGTCAACAAGACGGTAACCTCTCGCTAGCGAGACTAAGGGCGAAAAGGGGCAGGCAGATGAGGCTGAGGGAGTGGTGGGCACTACGCGTGTGACAGGGCGAGGTGAGACGCCCACCTCATTAGCGAGACTGAGTGTGAGGGACGGAAGGCGCGTGAGGTCGGGTGTGTGGTGGTCGAGCAGCAAGGGCAGGGAGAGCAAGTGGCCGTCGGGGGAGATGGTGATGGCGAAGTACTCGGAGAGCATCTCCGCCTTGCACTGCAGCAGCTGCACTGACGCCTGGTGGCCAATGCGGGAGGGAATGGAGGTGTGGGGTGACTTGTAAGGGACTCACAAGTACTCGGACAGCATCTCCGCCTTGCACTGCAGCAGCTGGAGCCATGCCTGGTGCGTGGAGAGGAGGGGGAGAAAAGAGATGGCAACTGACGAAGCGGAGATGGGATGATGAATGAGTCGAGTGGGAAGTACGCTGGCAGCATCATTGCCTTGAACGGCAGCACCTGGAGTGGTACCTGCTGAAGGGTCTCGGAGGGAATGGAGAAAGGACGACTACGAAGTTGATTCATGCAAAATTAAAGGGCATCGGGATTTTGCAATGCGCTGGAGCTGCGACAATTGACCCTGAGACAAGTCGAAAGCATGTCTTTCAAGTCAAGCCTCATGCTCCCTGCCGACAACAGGGGCAGCGACGGGGCGCCAAGTGAAGGAGGTGAGCCAAAAGGAGAGGTTGGGCATGGGAAAGAGATGCAGGCACAGGCAGTGAGCTGCAATCACACTCAACCCTCGCTCCACTTTCACTTCCTTTCAGCCATGGGCACACATCCAGCCCCCCCTCCTCTCTTCCTCTTCAAGGCCAGCAGCAGCAGGTGCAAGAGCAGCGGCAGGAGCTGCATTTCAATCACACTCGCCCTCGCTCCAACCACACTCGCCCTCGCTCCAACCACACTCGCCCTCGCTCCAACCACACTCGCCCTCGCTCCAACCACACTCGCCCTCGCTCCAACCACATTCGCCCTTGCTCCAAACCACACTCGCTCTCGCCCTCACTACACTCCCACTCACCTCCACTATCTCTTCCTTGGATCCATCCCCAGGCGTCCACCCTCCCGTCCTCTCTTCCTCCTCCAGCGCCAGCAGCAGCAGGTGCGAGAGCAGTGGAGGTGGCTGCAGAGTCATGCAGTTGAAGCGGCCGAACCGACGAATCGCCTGCTGCCACATCAGCTCCTTGCTGCAGAGAAGAAGAGCGCAGTGCACGAGGAAAAAAAGGCAGGAGTGTAGAACACCTGATGCCACTCCAAACCCCACGTGCTACGCGACATGAACACATGTGGGAAGCATATGGCTACGCCCCTGATGCTAACTGCATCAAGACAGTAAAGTGATGTTGAATGCTGCAGCAGCGCTGGTAAACAACTAATGCCAGCTCACACTCATGCCAGCTCAGTCACAGTCACATCCGATGCCAACTCCCACCTGATGCTGACGACATCAACAAGGTAGAGCGACGTTGAGTGCTGCAGCAGCAAGCGCCTGTCGTCCACCATCCCCACGTATGTGCAGTCCGTTATGAGAGCCGACAGGGCTGCAAGGGGAAAGAGGGGTGGGGTGCAGTCAGCAATGAAGGACACATGAGAGGCGGACAGCTATGAGGGCCTTTCGTCCACCATCCCCACATACGTGCAGTCTGCTATGAGGGCCGGCAGGGCTGCACAGCCAATGGCAGGGGGGTGCAGTTAGCAATGAAGAAAGCATGAGAGTCGGACAATTCATTTTCCGTCCACCATCCCCACGCACGTGCAGTTCGCTATCAGGCCCCAGGGCTGCAGGGGGCAAGGGGTTGGGGGTGGGGGGTGCAAACAGAGTGGGGCATGGTTGAAAGGAAGTGCAATGAGTGCAGCACACCTATCATGTTCGTAGACCATTGTTCACTTGCCACATCCCCCATAACCCATAGCCAGACCACCCGCCCATAGCAGCAGCTTGGCACCCCCTCGCACCTGAGTGTGTGCTCGCTGCCATCCCTTCCATGAGCTCCTCCACACTCGTCAGCCGCTCCTCCCCTCCCATGCCTCCCATCCCCCCCACCCCTCCTGCCCCTGCCGCTGCCCCCTTCAGACTCCGCCTCTTCCTCACTGCCTGCCTGCTCGCACTCATGGGGAAGGTGTAGGATGGATTGGGTGGGGGAGGTGGACAAAGGTGGGGGATGATGCAGGGTGGCGAAGAGGGGGAGAGGAAACAGGGAGCGCGTGGGGAAAAGAGCCAGGAAGCAAGAAAGTTGTGGCATGGATGGGATGGAAGGGATGCGACGAACAAGAAAAGAAGCTCATAGCTCACAACTCATGGTCCCCCTTCACTTTTAATTCCTCCCTCTCCCACCTTGTCCCACACACCTTCTCCTCTCATCTCCCCCCACCTTGTGGCAGCCAAGCTGTCGGCTGTAGCCTGCTCTCTGCTGCCAGATGGCCTCGCCTGTAGCTGCACACAGGGACCTGCTACAGCTGCTGCAACAACAGAAGGGCCAGCAACAACGTCTGCACTCGTGTTCCTCGCCTGTGCAGCCCCCGCTCCTTCTGCCTCCCCAGCCTCCCTTCTCTCCCTTACGCCCTCCTCTTCCCCACTTCCACCCCCCGCTGCCTCCCTTCCTTCCGTTTCCATGTCATCAGCACACGCCCCTCTCTCCCCCCCACCGTCTGCCCCCCTTCCTTCCCCTCCCTTCTCCTCCCCCCCCTCCTCGTCTCCACCTCCTTCAATGCCTGTTGCCCGTTCCGAGGCGAGAGTGTGAGAGGGGTGGGAGGAGGGCGTTTTCGAAAGGAGTGGCTGCCACAACCCTGGTTGGGACAGCAATGGCTGGGAGGAGGATGGTTGCGAGGGCGAGGGCTGGGAAGAGGAGGGGCGGTGGGAGAAGAAGGCGTGGAGGCGGCCGGCTGGGATGCGGGCGTCGGTGCGCACAAGGCGATGCTCGGGCGGCCTCTGAGAGGCTGGTGGGGGGGAGGAGGAGGGGAGACACAAAGGCAGACGACAGGCAGAGCATGAAGGAAATGACACACACTGAAAGACTGGCGAGCGAGCATTATCTAGATAGAGTGAGGAAGAGCCAAGCACTTGCTTGAATGGGTAATGGAATAGTTTCGGCAGATGCAGCAGCAAAAGAAGCTCGGAGCACACCAATCCCACGCGCCATACCAGGGGAGGCGAGTTTGGGGGAGCGGTGCTTCGTGGCGGGCGAGGAGGCACTATCAGGGTGGGAGGCGTCAGCAGCAGCAGCAGCAGCAGCAGGGGGCTTAGGAGGAGGGGTGGGGCCGGCGAGGAGGCTGGTCTGGGTGTAGAAGGTGCGCGTGTGGTTGGAGGAGAGGATGGCTCGCTCCACTGCCTGCTGCACCGCTGCCACCACGTCGTCCTGGTTCAGAAACCCCACCTGGCGAGACAGTGCATGGAGGAGCAAAGGGTCAATTGCACGGGGGGAAAGGAGGTTCGGGGGAAATTGGGCATCCGGGTCAGATGCATGGTTAGGCTGCTGCCATGGCCACGTTATGCATCTAGGCGTTTGGGCATGTAACCTAGGGGTGGAGTGTGGTCGGAAAAGGGGCATGGACAAGTATGGGCCGAAACAATGCTTTCCAAAACAAGGATTGGGCAAGCAAGGTCACGTGAGGCCGTGGTATAGTCCTGAGTGGAACCAGCAACGGATCACGCCTCTCTTGGCACCAGAGCACCACGCGCACCAGAGCACCACGCGCACCAGAGCACCACGCGCACCAGAGCACCACGCGCACCAGAGCACCACGCGCACCAGAGCACCACGCGCACCTCGCGCTTGGTGGGGTGCACGTTGACGTCCACGTGGTGCGGCGGCAGGGAGAGCGAGAAGTAGAGGAAGGGGCGAGCGGCCTTGGGCAGAATGGCGGCGTACGTGGCCTCACACGCCTTGCGCAGGGGCGAGCACTCCACTAGGCGGTCTGAAAGAGGGGGGATGGGGAGGGAGAGGGAGAGATGTAGGAGTAGGTGATTGCGTCGAAGGGGCGAGCAGCACCAAGACGTGAGGAGCACTGAGGGGCGAGCAGCACCGAGGGGTGAGGAGCACCGAGGAGTGAGGAGAGGGGCACAGGGGATATAGTACAGGGGAGACGGGAAAAGGAAGAGAGTGGCAGAGGGGAAGGGATAGAGGAAAGGGTGGGATACGAGGGGATAGAGAGCGGGGCATAGCGAGAATTGGCTCTGAGAGGTGAAAGCGACAAATGATGGGTGCCTGGACGGGTGAGTGAGAGAGAGAAAGCGGGGGGGGATGCAAAGGGAAAAGGGTTGTGCAGTGCAGTGCGTACTGTTGATGAAGAGGACCATGGTGGTCTTCTTAGCGCTGTAGTTGGCCGACGAAATGAACCCCCGCATAGAGAACCTCACACCATCTTCTCTCCCCCCGTCCCCTTTCTCCACACCTTCCCCTCCCTTTCTCACACCCTCTCCCTCTCCCTTTTTCCCGCCCTTCAATCCCCACCCCCCTCGCCTCGCGTCAACTGCAACCAGGTCTCTGGCCACTGCAGCGCCATAGACTGCTCTGATCGCCTCTAGCTGCCGCCTCCTGCGATCCTCCTCTTTCTCCTCCTCCTGCTCCTTCTCCTTTTCCCATTCCTCCTCCTTCTCCCCCTCTTTCCCCGTTGCCTCCTCCCTTTCCTTCCTCCTTTCTGCCCCCTTTGCCTCGCCCCCTTCTTCGTCCGATCGCCCCTCCTCACTGCTTTCCTCCCCCCCACCCGCCTCTGCTGCCTGCCTGGGAGCACCAGGGGTGAAGAGGTCAGTGCGCGCCTCACCGTACTGGAAAGGAGGAGTGGGAGGGAAAGAGAAAGGAGGAGAGAGAGCGGGGCGAAAGGGGCGGGAACACAATTGCTGAACGGGGAAAAGGTGGTTTGCTCGGGAGCACCATGGGTGAAGAGGTCTGTGCGCAGCTCACCATATGGAAGCGAAGGAGAGTAAGAGAGAGGAAGGGAGAGAGGGCGGGATGAAAGAGGGGTTAATATTGGTGAAAGGGGGCAGAGTGCTTTGCCCAGGAGCACCAGGGAAGGAAGCCAGGAAGGGGAGAATGAGGAGCGCAACAACACACGCTACCCATTGGCCCACGTCAGAAGCACCCGTCCTCCCCCCTCCCCCCACCCACCACCCGCCACCCCCCCCCACCTTCTTGCAGGAGAAGCAGACGTCGTGGTTGTGAATAGCGAAGCGGCTGATAATGTCGAGGATGCGTGCGTACTCCTCGCTGTAGCTGCGGAACGCCTTGCGGCGCGCCGCCACGTTGAAAAACAGGTCCTCCACCAGCACTTGAGTGCCCTTCACCGCCGCGCACGGGGTGGGCTCGCCCTGCATTTCACCATCGCGGTACTGCGCCCTGCCAGATAGAGACGGGGTCAACGCACGAGGAATGGAGGGAAGTGTTTGTCACCGGCACTTGAATGCCCTTCACCGCCCTGCACGGGGTGGGCTCACGCTGCAGCTCACCTTGGCGGTACTGCGCCCTGCCGCACACAGAGGGAATAGGAAGCAAGAGGAGTGGAGGAGAGGGCCCTCCACCACCAGCACCTGCGTGCCCTGCACCGCCACGCGTAGTGTGGCCCCTCACCCTGCACCCTCCATTCGAAGAGGAGAGACACGGAGCATGAGAGCAGGGTAGATAGATAGAGGTGGTCTCCTCTGCCACCGGCACTGGAGTGGAGTGACTTCACTGCTGCACACAGTGCTGCAATGCACCCTCCCCCCCCCCGCTCCCCCAGCCCCCCCTACCCTCCCTCTCTCTGCACAGCGCCTGCAGTGGCACCCAGGGAAGCAGGGAATGCAGGCAGGCACACACCTTGTTGACGCAGACCCCCGCCGGCCCTTACAAGTGCCCTGGCATGCCAAGCGTGCAAAGTATCGCGTCTCCCTGTATTTCCCGTCACGGCACCCGTGCCCGGCAACGCACGAACGCCCTACCAGATGAAATGAAGTGGCTTCTCAACCAGCACATGCGTGCCCCTGCCCGCTCTGCTGCAACGCGTGAGAATCTCAGGATGATTTGGCGCCCTGGTCGTGCTGCAAGAAAGAAGCCGGCATAGTGAAGGGGGCACGAGCACGCCCATACTATGCCGTGCAGTGCTGCCACATGCAGGCCAGCCAAACCTGCGCTCCATGTTCAACCCTGCCATCAACGCTACAGCCGACCATTGTTGACTACTGATGCGCGGTTCAGCAATTGAGCCCACCTGGAAGAAGCCCTACCTGAGCGTCTTCCGCTGCTGCACGTGCCGCTGTTTCTCCTGCAGCTCACCATATCTACGCCGCACTAAATGAAACGCGAGCCACCAGGCCCAAAGCCTCCACCTGGAAACGACCCCCCCCCCCCAGACAGGCGATCACCTGTAACTTCCAACAGGTGCAAACGCCGTAACCCTACAGAACTGAACACCTAATCTCTCACAATACAGTGTGATGACACCTGTGAATGTAAACTCGTTGAGTGCTTGTAAAAAAACTCGTACGAATTTACGAGTTTACGAGTTTACATTCACAGGTGTCATCACACAGTTGCTGCCACGTATTGACACAATGGCACCTATTTGGTGTTCTATTGGAACCTACAGAACTGAACAACTAATCTCTCACAATACACGCCCCCCCACAACCCTCGAGCTCCGGCGCACCTGAACCCGTCGGGCATGGTTCTAACAGTAAGGTGCGAAACACACGTGAGGCTGGCCAGGGCCTAGCCAAGTGACTTGTGCGTCAGGGCTGAGAACGCACCTGAACCCATGCGTCTGCCCGGCCGTCATGGTGGTGACGGTGAGGTGCGAGACGTACGTGAGGCTGGCGAGCGCCTCGCCCCTGAACCCTAAAGTGGCGATGCTCTCCAGGTCCTCAAACTCCCGCAGCTTCGACGTCGTGTGCCGCTCACACAGGATCGGCAGGTCCTCCGGCTGGGCGGGGGAGAGAGGGTGGGAGAGGGTGGGAGAGGGTGGGAGAGGGTGGGGACAGAGGGTACGGGAGTGGGGGAAGAGGATGTTCCATGGATCCTGATCTCAACACTCACTCCGACCCCATGACCACCGCACCACTCACCATCCCCCACCCCCCCACCCCCCCCTTCCACTCACCCTGACCACCCACTCACCATACTCCCCGGCACTCACTCTGATCCTGCCACTCACCCTGAACACCCCCAATCACCATCCTCCCTCCCCCCCACCCCCCCCCTTCCCCCCCTTAACCATGAACCCCTCCCAACATCCCCCCCATGCCCCCTCCCACTCATTCTGAACCCCCCACTCACTCCGACCCCCCACAATCACCCTGACCCCCCAAGTCACCCTGAATCCCCACTCACCATCCTCCCCACCCCCCCCCCCACTCTCCCCCCAGCGCCCCACGCACCCGGACCCCGTGGCCGTCGTCGGTGATGTGCATCATCTTCAGCCCGCCGTCCTTGACCACCACGCCCACGCTCCGCGCGCCCGCGTCCAGGCTGTTCTCCACCAGCTCCTTCACGGCCGACGCCGGCCGTTGAATCACCTCGCCCGCCGCGATGCGATTCACCACCGCCTCGTCCAACCGCCGGATGACAGGTGGCAGCGCCGCGCCGTCACCGCCGGCTGCGGCAGACATACCGGCTACGTCTGTTAGAACCCCAATAAGGAAACTACACGTGTACGCCGCCTACGCCCCGATTGGTCTAGACGCTTGCTAGTCTACGACGCGGCTTGCTGGTGTCCGGTCGGGGTATGCGCGTCGCGAGACGAGAGCCCGAAGCCACAAGAGCGGAACTCGCGGCGCCAACAGCAGATACTGGAAGGCTTAGTCTACAAAAAAAAAAAGATGTCGCAACCCCTATTTCTTGGACCTGTTCTACCAGCTTTGCCGGAAACTACTCAAACCGATCGGTGAGGCTTGGGTACTTGTCCGGCCAAAGCTTGCTAGGGTATCCCTACTTCGAAATGCCCGAAGATAAAGGAGCTTGACCCAGCATCTCGGGTTACATCGACGAGCGCGAGAAGCAGCTTCGCGACGACGAGAATCGCGAATCATTCACGCCGAGGGTGGTGCCATTTCCGTTTCCAACAGATCCGCACCGCGTGCCCTGATCAGTGATGGTTGTGGCGTGTGCTTGAAGTGATCGAATTGAAAGCAGACCGGTAGGCTGACCGCGCATCACTCACCATCCGCTCAATTTCAGAATTTCAAATATTCGTGGGCGTGTCCGTCGTCGGCTAAGGGCGCGGGATCTCCAATCTGTGATCACGAATTAGTCGGGACTTTGAGATGGTTACAAACCTTTTCGCAAAATTTTTACGTTCGTCGCCAAAATCCTTCGTCACAATATATACTGAGGATGGAAGGCACGAAAAGCTTCGTCCAGATGAGGGCTGTGCCACTTCCGAACCACCACCCTGCTCGCATGACTGGCATCACACGAACAGGTGATGCGAAATTTTGTTCCTGGTGTTGGCTGTGCGAAAAGTTTCGTCTCGTGTTGTCGCGACACATGCAACATGCTGTCCCTTTTGCGCCACTTCGCGAACGGGTGTTCACGTACGTGGTACGGTGGGTAGTCCAGACTTTGAGGGGTGGTTCGGACTACCAGAATTCGTGATGTCGTCCGGATTTTGACAGAACATACCCGATGTCCCGCGCCCTAATGTGACTGGAACGACACCAGAGGTTTGTGTTGTGACGTGTGTCCCGAATGTCGCAGTCTTAAAGCCCGCGTCTACATTTGTGGTTGCTGCTTTCAAATTAAAAACATTTGAAAGGAGGTAACCTGATGGACTGAGCTACTTTGCCGCTAACTCGCCCAAACCTTTAAAAACATTTGAATCTGGCCTCGATCACAATTGTGTACAGATTTGGCTCACCCCAGGATTTCGATTCCCCTCCCCTCCAATTGCGATTCCCCCTCCCCCTCTAATTGCGATTCCCCCGTCCCCCCTCCAATCGCGATTCCCCCTCCCCCTCCAATTGCGATTCCCCTTTTCCCCGTCCAATTTCAATTCCCCCTCCCCCTCCAATTATGATCCCCCCCTCCCCCCTCTCCCCAAATTTCGATCCCCCCCCCCTGAAATTTCCTTCCCCCCTCCAATCTTGCAACTCCCACTTCTCGATGCTTGCGAAGTCCGCATACTCTGTCGTCAGTTTTCCAGTATCGCCTCTCTCGTAAGCCAATCACGCAATACCAGGCCGACAAATCCTAAAGCTACACCACGAACCCCCTCAAATGTAGTCGCCGGCTTTAAGGGTTTGTGAAGGCATGTGGATTCGACACGATCACAAACCTGATGTGCTCAGGACGAGAATTTGACCCCAAGTGCCCAGGAGTTCAAGTACAGTTCGTTTGGCTAGATATTTTGTCGTGTTTCAATAGTGCACCTGCTCCACGCATCGTACGGTCCAATCTGCTTCCTCGAGTTTCAGAGCAGTGAAAACACCACCCCAACACGTTGCAACTTACATCACAACAATCAGTGATACTCGGTGCTTTCTCCATCGATGTAAGGAAATTCCCTTTTCCTTACTGGGCTCGACTACAGCGCGTACGCCCTCGACTCACGGAAGTCCAGGCCTGGCCAACTTCTTCGGTCCCGAACCACTTTGCGAACCCAAACCTAGACGCGCAGCGCTTCCGTGGAAATCTTCTTCACGGCAACAAGTATTAATGACAATGCATCACGTGTCGAAAGAAGCGGTGAGACGGCGGGTGGTAAAATTGCCAGGCAGACGTGTCAAGGGGGAAGCCAAAGAAGATACAAGGGACAGTGCGGGCAATGAGCATGTCCGCGCCACAGGCGCAAACGTGAGTGAGTCAGCCCAGACTTGGAAAGCAGACGCGTCACCAGGGGACCCGGTCCAGACGAGGGTCGGCGAAACCTGCGGCCGCTGGGAGTGTGGCCACATGTTAAGCTGGTGGGCGGCGTAGCAAACAGCGAATGGCCACAGAAAATGGGGTGCACCGGCATGGATCATGGAGGTACGAGCCACTGCCATGACCAAACCGATGCATCGCTTAGCGACCCCATTCTGCTGCGGGGAGTCCGGCAGGGTGTACGACTGGCAGGCCACGGTATACCTGCGCAGCTACGACCCACAGGATAAGAACGACATGTGCGTCGACCTTCCGCTCCAGGAGCAACACCGCCGAGTAGTCGTTGATGAGCACCTGGAAGTAGCACTCGCGAAGTGGCCCGAGGATGGGGGCTGGGCCCCAAACGCCCAAGTGCAGGATCTGGAGTGACGCAGTGGTGGGGGGAAACAAGGAGTGAGGAGCACGGCACAGCCGGCCCCCGACGCAGGGCGTGTACGGAGGCGCGGGCGAGGGAGGAAGGGCAGGGAGCGATGCAAAGAGACCCTAAGACAAGACCGTGCTGGGACATGTGACGCAGACGCGGGAGTGTGGGGTAACCTAGACGGTGGAGCCACAGAAATGACGGGTGAGTTAGCGGCTGACTCGAGCAAGCCGCGGTGACATGAGTAGGCGCGGCCACCTGGGGGGACACCCCCACTGGGGGGGATGCAGTGTGCAGCGTGAACAGGCCAGACACTGGGGCCCGGGGGAACGTGGTGAGGGGGTCCCCAGTGACGGCCTCGGTACAGACTGTGTACCGCTCATGTCCAAGGAACGTAGTGGTGACGCGAGGTCCTAAAGACAACCGACACCAACTAGGTTCCTCGAGAAGGAGGGGATGTGCAAGCCTGTAAGGGAGCCCGAGGGAACCGCCGGACAGGAAACGGTGGTGGAGCTTCATGCAACTACCGGACCTGAGGAGGGGTCAGCAAGAGCTACAGTGGCAGGGGCGGCAAACATCGTGAGCGTATTATGGTCGCAAAGCAGGCAGACACACCAGTGTCCAGCATGAAGGAGAGTGCAATGGTCGGGGCGGTCGCACACGGTGTTGGGGCGGGGGCCGGTATAAAGCTGGAACTGGCATATCACCACACTGGAGCCACCACCTGACGCCGAGCAGCGCTCGCCGCCACCGCGACCGCCTCCACCAAAAGAGCCAGGCCACCACGGTGGTGGAGGTCTTCTTCGCTGCTGCTAGTGCTGCTTCTACTGCTGCTGTTGTTGCGTCGAGGCATCAGCCCCAGTACCCTCATCTGCACCACTGGCGCTCGCACCACCTCCGCCACCGCCGCCACCCCTCCCTCCGCCACGCCCCCCCTTGGGGCGGCGACCCCTACCCGGACAAGGCTACACTCAGCAGCAGGGGCTGTCTCAGCGACACTGGCAGAAACGTCAGAGTAAGTGCACTGGGAGGGAGCACAGCCCTCGAAGATAGGGACCGCCGCAGTATCGCTAGACTAGGCGATAGTGTACCAGCGGGTCCCTATTGCGGTCAGGGTGGTGACAAACTCGGTAAGGGTGAGGTCGGCGGAGTTGAGACCGAGGAACTGGTCGCAGGCAGTGGCTAGGCGGTCAGGAAGGTGCCTAGCAAGGAAGTATAGGGTAGCGCAGAGAGAGGGAGGCAATAAAGTGAGCTGTGCCTCAGTGCTAGCAGCGCGGTAGCTAGTCTCAAGCGTGTGCAGGTGAGTGGCAAGATCAGCGACAATGGGGAAGGATGCAAGATCAGGAAAGAGCAGGGAGAGCAAGAGACGGTGGACAGAGGCGGAGGAGGGTGTCACAGGATCGAATGTGTCTAGAAAGAGTTGCACTATGGATTGTACAAGGTGCTTTATACTTCCAAGGTACATCAGGTAACCGGGTTTATCCTACCCAAAGGGAATAGACCCTTTTCGAAATAGAATCACCCTGCGTATATCCACACGAGGCTATTGACTTTAAAGGACTACGGCAGGATTACGCTAGATATAGCAGCACCAATACATCCCGAGCCTGGTCGGTGATATAATTATAATTATAAGATAAACCAAAGGATAATGGAAAATGAGGAATAGGAAACCAGATTAGATGAGATAAAGATCAAAAGGATCGGGATAAAATGAAGGATGAGATTGAGAAGAAAGATGGAAATAAGAAAGAAGTCTAACGAGGCCGTGCTCTCACACTTCCCCCCCTCAAAGCTAGGTGGTAGAAGAAACACCCAGCTTGACAAGGTAAGCCGCGAAGAGAACGACAAGAGTTACCCATGTCGGTTTCAGGGACCCAGCTATTCTCAAAAGGACCATAACCATTCCAACGAATGAGAAGCTCCACGGTACCATTCCGATGACGATGGTGTGCAAGCACGGACTCGACCTCGTACTCGGGTTCATCATGGACGAGGATGGGCGGCGGCGGCGGTGGTTGGCATCCGGTGAAGACCGTGTTAGGATCTTTGTAGGGCTTCCAAAGTTAGATATGGAAGGCATTGTGAATCTTCCAAGTAGTTGGCAGGCATAAGTGGAAGGCCACAGGAGTGACCTGTGCTCCAACGAGAAAAGGCCCGTAGAAGCGAGGTTGAAGTTTGGATGGGAGATGACTGATGTCCAGATTGCGGGTGTCGAGTAGAACATGGTCTCCTATAGTAATGGTAAGGCCAGTGCGGCGGCGATCGGCCTGGTACTTCTGTTGCTGCTGAATGTCGAGGAGGCACTTGTGGGTCCGATCCCAAAGCTGATGCATGGTTGTGATTAAGTCGTGTACGGGTTGGACTGTGGCTGATGCTGTTGGTTTTTGTGGCATGAGTGGGTTGCGTCCATAACAGAGGAAAAATGGTGTCTGTCCAATAACATCGTGCGTGGCGTTGTTGTAGGCAAACTCTAGGACGGGTAGATGCAAGTCCCACTTAGAGATTTCGTCCTTGCATACTGTACGGAGGAGTTGCTCTACAATTTGGTTGATGGATGGCGGATGGTAGGCGGATGACATGGCGAGTTTGGTTCTGAGCGGAGACAATAGTTCTTTCACGATCTTGCAGGTGAACTTGGGGTCTTGGTCAGAGATGAGTGTGGTTGGAATGTCGTGTTGTGAGATGATGTAGCAAACAAATAGTTGGGCTGTCTCCTCGGTACATGTTGTCGTGTGTGTCAGGATGAAGTGTCACATTTTGGAAAATTTGTCGATGACGATGAGGATTGTGTCATGACCAGGGCTTATGCTAGGTTCCTGCGCCGCTCGGACGTTCAGGGTACCCCTCGAAACTTACCCTGAAAAAAAACGGCACGGCAAAATCGT